TTTACAGTATACACTTAAGTATCTCTTACCCAAAATGCTTGGGACCAGAGCCATTTTAAGATTTGGGGGGTGGTTCAGATTTGGGGATATTTACACATATATAACGAGATGTCTGGAGGCGGGGGCCAAGTCTATAAACGTGCTACATATTCATGTTTTGTATATACCTGTATACGTAGTATAATGTAATTAGGCTTAAATTGATGCAAAATTTTAGTGTGCCTATGTTTTAACTGCAGCTATCATATGAGATCAAGTGTGTAATTTTCTACTTGGTGGTATCATGCTGGCTATAGAAAATGACAGATTTTGGAGCATTTAGATGAAGGATACCCTATAGTGCTTTTCGTAAGAATGACAAAGGAGGAAACCATGATAACTGTCACAATCCCACAACTGAGATGATAAATCCTTAATTGTCATTAGCACTTTGACTTCTTTTCCATACACATTTTTTTTTTTTTTTTTTTTGGTCTCTTTGAGACAGGGTCTCCCTGTAGCCCCAGCTGTCCTGGAACTCACTATGTAGACCAGGCTGGCCTTGAACTCACAGAGATCCACCTGCCTCTGCCTCCCGAGTGCTGCATTTAAAGGCGTGTGCCACCACGTCTGGCTCATACACATATTTTAACATCATTGAAGTTATGCTGAATATTCAGTTTTGTAAGCTGCTTTTTAAAATTATTTAAAATTTCATAATATTAATGCAGAATATAGGCTAAGGGTTAAGGGACAGTCATTCAAATCCTAATTAGTCAGTGAGCATTTACAATTTTGACTACAATTACCATGCTGAATCCAGAGTCAGAGTGTGCACATGTCCCAGGGCAAAGCAGTGACATATATGCCATTTCATTTTGTCCCGAACATAGTCTATCAGAAAAAAAGTGTTGCTTTGGAACCCTATAGTTGGCCCTGTGTAGAAGTAACTCAGACATGGATGTTAAATGCAGTTTTAGAAGTCACCCAATCAAATAATGCATCCCTGTATCCTTTCTCAACTCTGCCACCTTTTCATTTTTCTTAGAATCTCAACATGTAGCCCAGGCTGGCCCAGAATACACCATCTTCTTGCCTCAGTCTCCCCAGAACTGGAATTATAGGTGTCAGGCACCACTACAGGCTCTACTGCTTTTTCTCAGGAATTAATAACCAAAGCCAGGGGCTATGGTCTTAGCACAGTGTTGGGAAAGTAAGTTGAGCTACTAGTTGGCTGATGAAATTAGAGGTGCTTGATGGCCTTTACTAACCTTTCCTTTCGTGACCAGATGGCTTCCAACTGTACAGGTGTGACTTTTTTGGTTAGCTTCTGTGGTTGTTCATCAAATGCTGCTTGGATTTGGAGCAGTGACTGTTCATGAATGGCTGTGACTAACATGTTTTTGGCAAGAAGAAAATTTTGTAACTTTCTATGTTCTGTCATTTAAATTCTTCAAAAAGGTTGGGTATGGAGGCACATGCCTGTAATCCTAGCACTCAGGAGGTAGAGGCAGGAGAATAACATGTACAGACCAGCAAGGATTATGTGTCAGAAATCCTCTCTTAAAGAAGTAGGGGTTGGAGAGATGGCTCAGCGGTTAAGAGCACTGACTGTTCTTGGAGAGGACCCAGGTTCGATTCCCAGCACCCACATGGTGGCTACAAACTGTCCTTGACTCCAGTTCCAAGGGAATCCAAAGCCCTCTTCTGACCTCCACAGCATTGCATGACATGGGTGCACTCACATACATGCAGGCAATACACTCATGCACATAAAATA